AGGGTTGTTTGGGACTTTTCTGGGCTTTTGATTAGGCTTTACTCCTGTAGAGTCTATAGAGGGTTTTAGGCGGTGTTACTTGGAGGATCATGGGACTTAGTAAGTAAGGTTATACGTCCCTTAATTGGGGTTATAAGTATAGTTACCCTAATTATAACCCTACTTACTAAGTCCCATGATCCTCCAAGTAGACCCTAAACCCTAAACCCTAAACCCTAAACCCTTATACTTACTAAGTCCCAATGATCCTTCAAGTAAGCTCAAGGTGTCTTCGGCATGTTCGCCGCCGCTGACAGGATGAAGCTCGCTTCTGTCAAGGCGGTGATGGGTTTAGGGTTTAGGGGGCTTGGGTTTAGGGTTTAGGGTTTAGGGTTTAGGGTTTAGGGTTTAGGGTTTAGGGTTTAGGGTTTAGGGAATTTGGGTATTGCTGGTTTGTTTCGAGGGTTCATGTTTGCAAGGTGTTGCTTGCTTTAACCGCTTCGTTCATGCATCTGCGCCTTTTGGGTGTGAGGATTCAGGGCTCTCCTTGTTTTCCGTTTCTATTTGGGGGTTTCCGAGAATAGGGGGCCGTAATATAGTACCGTAAGCAGTAGGATCCTTATTATCAGGGCCCCAAAATAAGGCCCACCCCCGTATTTTCGGAAACCCCCATTCGAGCCCTTGGATACGTAGCGTCTGGTGTATATAGGATTTTGCGGTTTGGGCTGCAACGAGGCGCATGCCTTAAGGATAGTTGGGGCCGCCGTTCTCTGTGCTTTACTTCGAGGGTATGTGAACAATTGTCTTTCAACATTTTGGCTTTCACTTTAGTGGGATAGGATTTGGGATTCAGTCAAAGCTTTAGACGTTGGAATACGCATGGTGGTCAGGGATAGTTTAGCAGATCCCTAAACCCTAAACCCTAAACCTGGAAGTCTCTTCTAAAGATCAGCTCTCCTACAACGTGAAGCTTGCGCCCTGACCAGATTACGATACGCTAGGGGCCTAGATAATTGACTATACTATCTTGGAGGTTCCTTATTATAGCTATAGTAGAATATGCCCCCGAACCTGATGAGAATAATGAGGCCCTTGAGTTACTTGGAAGCTTCAGCTAACGATCACCCCCCTAGATTCTGAAGCCTGAACACTTCCCCCCAAGACACCAAACCCAAATCCAAATTGCATCATTTACGAATCATCAAGATATGCACGCCCCACTGCTAAGCAGCACTATGAAAACCTACAACCCTAAACCCAGATACACTAAGCTCTGAACCCTCAAACTACAATCCTAAACCCAGATACCCAGTGATTGTGGCGTTTCGACCCTAGGGTCCCCCGGCCTCTGAAAATTGGGGGTCGGGGGCGCAGGCTTTAGGGTGGAAGCGGCTTGAGGCTTCAGGTGTCATTCAGGTTTCAAGCGTCTAGGGTATGGAACTTTGGAGCTAAGTTTCAGGTGAGTTGGGAGATCCCCCTGAACCCTCAATCTTAAACCCCAAACCCTAAACCCTAAACCCTAAACCCTATAAGCCCTAAACCCTCAACCCTAAAACCTCAACCCAAACCTCAAGCCCGGACCCGAATCCCAACCCGAATTGATTCTTCCATTCCGGAGCACCAGGAGCCATGCCTCGACTTCATTACTGGCGCTTTGGACGCAGAGTTGGGGTTCGATATTTAGGGCTTAGGGGTTTAGGAGTTTTGGGTTTAGGGTTTAGGGGTTTAGTGTCTTGGGTTTAGGGTTTAGGGGTTTGAGTTTAGGGTTTTGGGTGTAGGATTTTAGGTTTAGGGTTTAGGGGTTTGGGGTTTAGGATGGTTCAGGGTTTAGGGGTTTAGGGGTTTTTGGGTTTTTGGTTTAGGGTTTTAGGGTTTTGGGTTTAGGGTTGAGGGTTTGGCTGTAAGGGTTTTAGCTTCCGGGTTTGGGAGGTTGGGGTTTCTGCGTCTCTTGCTGTGGATTGATCCTGGGTTTCCTAGGTCTAGGCTCGCCCTAAACCCTAAACCCCTAAACCCTAAACTGCTGAACCTATACCCCTAAACCCTTACCCCAAAACCCTAAATGCCTATGCCCCGGTGGTTTCGTGCTGGCCGCATTCTGGGATCCGAATTCACAAGTCCCTGGCTCTGAAAATAGGGGGCCCTAATGATTAGAACATTTAGGGTTTCGGGGGATGCTACAGCACCACTATACGGGACTATAGAGGGATACTCTTCCTAATGCTTCCGACACTTAGAATACCCGTCAACGATTGGGGTTGCCCTTTCAAAGTGGCACCGGCCTCTATGCGGGTTTCAGGGAAGGGCTGCGTAAGTGGTTAAACCTGGAAGAATCTCAATTGTAAACCCCTGGCTAATGGTAGCTAATGGTACTATGCTATATGCTCCTGACACAGAAGACCCTGTATGCAAGCCATAGAAATGTCTTGTGAACACACTGTGAAAGCCCACAGCCTCTACGAACTCTTGGGGCACCCCATGTAGCACCCAACGCGTGAGTCAGAGTGGCAGGCCATCCGAAAGAGATGCTGCCCATCCTTCACTTGCTGGATGGCAAGCTCTTGGCAGAGGTGCCCCCCTAAACCCTAAACCCTAAACTTTAATATGGACCCCCTAAACCCTAAACCCTACATCCTAAACCCTAAACTTCCCCCCCCCTCCAAAAAAACTCAAATAAAAAGAGACCCTAAGCCCTAAACTCATTCTTAAGGCTCCCATATTCTGCTCTGGGCCCGGAACTCTAAGGGTTTGCTCGGCGGGCTTTTAGAAAGGCTCCTGTTAGGGTTTAGGGTTGGGGGCTCGAGGGCTTGGAGGTTCAACAGGTGTGAGGGTTTATAGCTTTAGGGCTTAATATAAGGGCCTGAATAATTTTTAATAGGGTTTTTGGGGTTTCCTTATCATGACCTTCTCATGCTTTCTGAGCAAATCTTTGTAGTTTTCGGGTCAAGCTTTGATGGCCCTTAGACCTGTTCAGGCCTCTCTTCTGGGAGGCTCCCTTGCATCTCTGTTCCTTCGGGCTGCAGAGGATTTTCTCCCCGGAGCTCTTGATCAGCCGGCTCCTTTCCCATTGACTTGTCCGGTGCTCGATTTCCCGGACTCCTTGCACTGGCCTTCAGTCCTCTTTGGGCTTCTGCTCGGCATCCTTCTTGGCCCCGCCATTGACCTCCTCTATCTCTTCCGGGTTTGGTGGTCCGCGGCGGTTCGT